GGTTTTACAACTCACTCTCCCAGGAGCATCCCAGGACACAACGAGAGACACTAATCTAGTCTTGTAAGAGCAAGAACTCACTAGCTCCAGGAAGGCACAAAGCCATTCATGAGGGATCTGCCATGATTCAAATACCTCTCACTAGGCTCTACTTCCCAACACTGTCATAATGAAGATAAAATTTCTTTTTTTTTTTTTTTGAGTTGGAGTCTCTCTCTGTCACCCAGACTGGAGTGCAGTGGCCACTCCCGGCCACCGCAGCCTCGACCTGCTGGGCTCCAGCGATCCTTCTGCTTTAGCCTTCTAAGTAACTGGAACTACAGGTGCACACTACCATGCCTGGCTAATTTTTTAAATTTATTGTAGAGATGAGGTCTCACCAAGTTGCCCAGGAGGGTCGTGAACCCTTGGGCTCAGGCAATTCACTCACCTCGCCTCCCAAAGTTCTGGGATTACAGGCTGATCCACCGAGCCTGGCTGAAGATCAAATTTCGACATGTGTTTTGAACATGTATTTAACCCAAAGCACGTCCAAGGTTTTTTTTTTTTAAGTCTGATCCTAGAATCCTTATTAAAAATTTCTAGCAAAGCCAAAATAAAAAGAGCCTATATGGTCAATCACCATCCTTGCTAAACTTACATAAGAAATTAGGCCAAAGAGTAAACTTATTTTGCAAATTAGTCTACTGTAACGGGGGAACTAGAGAAAGAAAAACATTATGTTTCAGAAGAAAACTATTATTAGATTCTAACTCTGTCTATTGATTTTGGGTTTTTAAATTATCTGGACTGAATCCTGACTTTAAAAGGAATCTCTGAACTAATGTTTCCAATTTTTTCTCCTATCCTTCTGACTTGAAATCACTAACAATTAAAACTGTTTTTTTTTTTCCTGAGGCTAAAGCTAGTCCACTTGGCTTTGAAGAAAACCACTACATAGCCGAGGATGGTGGCTCATACCTGTAATCCCAACAATTTGGGAGGTGGAGATGGGAGGACTGCCTGAGCCCAGGAGTACAAGAACAGCCTGGGCAACTTGGTGAGATGTCATCCCTAAAAAAAAAAAAAAAAAAAAAAGTGGGGCTTGGTGGCACATGCCTGCAGTTCCAGCTACTTGGAAGGCTAAGGTAGAACGCTCGCACAACTGAATTCAGCAGGTCAAGGCTACAGTAGCCGTGAGCGTGCCACTGCCCTCCAGTTTGGGCAATATAGTGAAACTCTGACTCAAACAAACAGAAAAATCACTACAACAGTTTATATTCAGATAAGCTTTGTACATGCGAACTGCAAACTAGAAAAATCTGTCCGAGTCCTTTCCTAAGGAGGTAATGAAATCTCATAGTCTAACACACAGTAAGTGCTTAATAAAAAAGTTTCTGGTCAGGATTGGTGGCTCAAGTCTGTAATCCCAGCACTTTGGAAGGCCAAGGCAAGAGGATTGACTGAGTCCAGGGGTTTGAGATCAGGTTGGGCAAATTGGTGAGACCTCGTCTCTACAATAAATCAAAAAATTAGCCAGGCGTGGTGGCATGCGCCCGTAGTTCCAGCTTGGAAGGCTGAGGTGGAAGAATCACCTGAGGCTAGGCAGGTTGAGGTTGCAGTGGCCGTAAGCGTGCCACTGCACTACAGCCTGGGTGACAGAGTGAGACTCCAATTCAAAAAAAAAAAAATCCCCAAACAAACAACAAAAAAGGTTTATTTTCTCTGATACATTAAATTTTATAAAAGTTTATTACAAGTTTAAAAAAAGCTTATAAGGCAGGGGCGTGGTGCCTGAAGCCTATAATCCCAACACTTTGGGAGACTGAAGTGAGAGGATTGCCTGAGCCCAGGGGTTCAAGACCAGCCTGGACAACTTGGTGAGACCTCGTCTCTAAAATAAATTAAAAAATTAGCCAGGCGTGGTAGCATGCACCTGTAGTCCCAGTTACTTGGAAGGTTGAAGCGGAAGGATTCCCTGAGCCCAGCAGGTGGGGGCTGCGATGGCCATGAGTGTGCCACCGCACTCCAGCTTGGGTGACAGAATGAGACTTCAACTCAAAAAAATAAAAAATAGAAAAGTTAAAAAAATTTTTAGCCGGGCTCGGTGGCTCAGCCTGTAATCCCGCGCCTTTGGAAGGCTGAGGTGAGTGGATTGCCTGAGCCCGCGGGTTCGAGACCCGCCTGGGCAGCGAGACCTCATCTCTACAATAAATCAAAAAATCAGCCGGGCATGGTAGCGCATGCCTGTAATTCCAGCTACTTGG